TGAAGGTGAAACATCTTCTGTGCCATATGAATTGCAAGCAGAGGTGTGTTTCTGAAACTTGTTCACTCGATAATGACGATGAAACTGATTTGAAATGTCTAATACTAAAAGGTATATGGTGGGATTGTGTAGAGCATGTAAGCACTGATTGGATGTAGAGTGATACACATGCAGTTTGGTTGGTTAATACTCTACATCAGTGGAATATTTTATTCTAACTGAGGAATGTTCGTTCGCCAGGGTTGAAATGATTTTCAGAGAGCTATGGAATGTTTAATGTATTCTGTGGAATGCTTTATTCTACTCGTGGAATGTTTGTTCACCCGTGACATCAATAGATTGAATGCTTAAGAAGCTTTAATGCCCTGTGGAATGCTTATTCATGTCTTCTGAATGTTATTGTATTCTATTGAATGCTTTGACTCTCCTCTGGAATGTTTATTCGTTACAACGTCAATAGATTGAATGCTTTGAGTATGAATACTCTGGAATGTCTATTGTTGTGCTCAGGAATGCTATTGTGCTCATAGGGAGGTGTGCTCAGGAATGCTATTGTGCTCTGGAATGCATTGTGCTCATAGGGAGGATTAATCCTCAATCGATTGAGGATTACTGCTCTGGAATGCTATTGTTATGCTCTGGAATGCTATTGTTATGCTCTGGAATGCTTTTGTTCTCTTAGGAATGCTATTGTCTGTGCTGAACGGATTACTTTTATACTACTCAGGTGAAATAAGAAACCGATCGTATATAATCCCAAATAGACTTGCTCAAATCTTTTTGACGAATAATATGTCCAAAGAGAATTTATATTTTCCTTGAAAACAAATAATTTAACGAAATCACCTAAAGCGTCATAAACTTTCGCTCACTGTCAGATGTCTGAGCGGGTTGCATCAGAGACAAATATGACTAACGCTTAGACCCTGAGTATATTCAGTATCTAAAATTTTGATAGAAAGAATCACTGGCTATCGATACATACGATATGCCTCTATACTAGTATAGGGACATATCCTATGTATCGATAGCTTGTGTTTCAATATAACAGAGCAAAACTGTGGAATCGCAGAAAGATCTCTGTCGCGTTGTGCTCATACAAAAAACAAGCCCAAATTGTAAAAAAAAGAACCAAAGATAGACAATGCGACTATTCAATGTGTCAACGCGGCAATTTGTCACAATGTCACACTTTGAATATTTATTTTTATTGTTTTTCCAGAAAAAAACGACAATGCGATATAATGATTATGTTGCACTGTCGGGCATTTTACTTTTTTCTTACGGCACACTTGGGACAATAGGACAAAAATGCGAGAACGCTACATATTTTGACCTGGACAACTCGCGTTGTCGCATTGTCGTCCTATTGTCCGAAGTGTGTCTTAAGAAAAAAGTAAAATGCCCTTTTGTAGATGAGGTGAGGTGAAAAGGGGTTTAACGTCGTACTTGAGAATGTTTCGCTCATTATTATTATTATAGGATACTTATATAGCGCACATATCCACGCACTAGTGCATGCTCAAGGCGCTGGTAGTTTTCCCCCCCCCTCGATCATTGGATGTGAATCTCAACGGCACATCTTAATATCAATCTCAACTCCCTGGGGAGCATACAACTTTTGCAGCCACTAGGCTTATTGCGGCTTTCCCATCCGTACGAGGTACCCATTCACAGCTGGGACTGACTGGACTGCACGTTGCTGTACCCGCAACTAGGTGTTTGCACGTATTCATGTGTCCACCATCTGGTCATATACCAAAGGATTCGTGGGTTCTTTTAAGTCCACAGGGTTGTGTACTGTACACTAGGGGGTTGTGAAAACACCGAAAGAGTCTGCACACAAAGTTGACGCCAAGGTTTTAACACCCGGTCACAGGTGGGCTCGTTCCCGGCACCTCATGCTCGCTGGATCACTAGCCTGGCGCCTTAGCCAGCTCGCCCACCATGCACCCATATGACGACGTGCATGCGTGTGTATGTGCGGCTGCTTGTACCCAGATAGCAAAGGTGTGTTGGGCCAATGTTGGTATATGGTTGGTTGGTTGGCCAACAGTTTGACAACATTGGCCCAACGTTATCTTAATGACTTAAAAGTAACGGTGGCTTTTGACACGTTGGTTCAACAGTGGGCCAACATTTGAAAAACTCTGCCTATTTTTCCTGATCTTACATCTATTTCAAAAAATTGGGCCACCGTTGGCCCAACATTGTGAATAAAAGAGTCAGCACACGGCCATTTTTTAGCAATGTTTTCTTATAAAGATTTTGATGAAAGTTGAAATAATTACACAGACAAAAAGAAAGAATCCATTTCCCTCTCTTTCAACTATGATGCAGTGAATTTTACAGCGTTGTTTTCTCCAAACTGAATACCAAACTTGTCATCAATGATAGCTTTACCTGACATTCAAAGAGCAGACGACACTACATTTCTGGAGGCCTTCAACTGGTAAATATGCATTGTTATTTCTGTGATACTGAATTGCGAATATATTGTGAAATAATTGGTTTAAATCATCATTTAGGCAAAAGAAACTGATACATACTGTATTGAAAGGCAATTGCTTGAGTAGATTAAAGATTTAATTGACTCTTTTCTTTAGGTAGCCTGTTTTAACCACTTTGATAAATCTCATTTCATTTTAAATTATTTAAATTTATTGTGTTTACTTTAATAACATTATGTGTTTGTCAGTTACACTCCTGTTTCCATATACAACTCTCTCTATTATTCATCTTTACAACCAATAATTGCTAAACATCATCATATCAGATATATGTGTCACAGTTATAGTAGTTACACGTCATATCCAAATAACACATTATTTGAACAGCATTCTAGAAGTTGGTGAGTCCAAAATGAAACATACAACTCTATGGATGACAACTTCTTGTTTATTGTAAAGAACGATGTTTCGATGTAGATTCTTACACCGTTATCAAGCTAAAAGTGACTACAACCAAATGATGAAGGTATATATACATGTACAGAGTATGTTTTGTCAAATAAACATAATTTGGAGCGGCCAGTTGGGGACTAAGAACAACAAATGGATCTAGTGATGAAACCAGCGGAACCACCTACAACATGTCTTCACGGGCCTCAACCAGTAACCCACCAACTCATAGTTTGTTTGATTTCATTTGAGACCAATGAATTGCTCACTAACACAAAATCTAAAAATTGCAAGAAAACCAAATTTTGCAGTCACATGAAACGACAGACCAATGAAGAACTAATCAAACTATAGACTCTATCAAAGCACCCTATCAGCTTGTTGTTACAACTGAATCTCCCCCTGTTTATTGGCTTCATCACCATTCTATTTGTTGTTCTTAGTCCCCATCTGGCCTCTCCCAATAATGTACCAGTTGTTATTCAATTACATGTTGTTGTTAATGTCAATCTGCTGATTGTCAAAACATACTACGCATATATACTTCTCATCATTTGGTTTTAGCTTGATAACAGTGTAAGAATCTACATCCGAACGTCACTCTGTGCAATAAACAAGAAGTTTTCAATCATTAAGTTGTATGTTTCAAATAAAACATAAGGTCAAATACTATGTCCTTTTACGATAGTTCTCATGTTTAAAATTATGATATCTGTCACAGTTTCATGAAATTTTTTGGGTTGTTTTTTTCAGCAGCAGTTAAAAAAACCTGTCAGCGGCGACAGCCAAAAGACCTAAGACAAGAAATACAATAATGTTCAAATAACAATGAAAAAAAAGAATGAAATAGTTCACTTGATTAACTTGTTGTGTTGTTTATATATGTTTCTGATTGCAGAGGTCAGGAAAGAGCTAAATGTTGAAATACAGTTGTGCCAACATAAGCCCAACTAAATCACATCGTTGGGCCAAGTATGGGCCATGGTTTAGTACAAAGGTCAAAAAAGAGCTAAATGTTGAAACACGGTGGTGCCAACATAAGGCCAACAAAATCACTACGTTGGGCCAACTATGGGCCATGGTTTTGTGTGAATTTCATTCGTTGGCCCAACAATCAGCCAACATGATGGGCCAACGTGGACCCGATGAGCATATCCAAGTGGGCCCATCGTCAGTTTGCCAACAATGGGCCAACCAAACTGGTGATTATGGGCCAACTATGGGCCAACATACCAATGCTATCTGGGTACTAGTCCAGACGTAAGCTGGTTTTATAGTGCTAGCTCACTGAGATACCATGCCGCAGTGAAGCATGAATACCCCACTCAGACACATCATACTGACTCCGAGCCGACCAGTCCTTATTGTACTCATTACTGCCGAGCGCCAGGCAGGGACCAACAAGTACCATATTTTAACGTCTTTTGGTATGACGCGGCCGGGGATTGAACCCGCGACCTTCCGCTCTCCTGACGGATGCTCTAACCACTATACCACGGAGGCGGCCCCCCTCTTTTGTAGAACAAAAAGTGTTATTCAAAGCGCAAAAATGTATAATTCACTAACCAACACTTTACTCACTAACAGACCAGTGAGGATTCCGGGATAGAATAGGTAAGGGGAAAATAATAGATCAGGTAGTTTGACATCATTCCCCACATCCTGATGCAATGCTCATGCTGTCAGTCACTGGTTTGTCTCGACCAGACTCGAATACTTTATCACCATCGTCATATAGCTAAAATATTGCTGTTTAAAAAAAAAAGGAAAGAAAAAAGATAATAATATCAAACAAAGGGATCACCTGGAAGGAAGGTATGTCAATGTTCCCACGTGCTATTTCTAGCACGATGTATTTCATATTCTACGTGTTATGTGAAAAATTCGATTAACAAGATTTATTGTTGAACATTGTTTTCATGTTTGTAAATATGTAATAGACCCCGTGCATCATTCTCAGGAAAATCATCGGAAACTATAAATATAATATATGAAACAGTTTCCACAGATATGTTATGTGCTTTCCATGGGGTATTTATAGTCTGTGGTGTGAATACTAACCTTGCTGAAACAGATATCTGACGCCATTGAGTTATCTCCCTTTAGGAGGACCCCACCCTCAGAAAAGACAGCGGATCTTCTTCCAAAAACAAGTGTCACTGAGCGTGTTTTCAAAGACAGATTCGTGGTAAAGGTTAAAAGAGGTTGGTATGAAGTGTTCATGATCATGAATATTTTTCACACACATTTGTGGGAGACATATTGTCACTATGGACACAACACTGTTGAACACAAAGAGGGAATTGATTTGGTACAAGTGTTTAGAATTACTGTGACCGCGCCCGACCATGTACATGTAAAGTACCCTTTAATACAAGAAGAAATATCTGAATACAGCCATCAGACACTGTTACAGCTTAAACTAATCATATTTGTAATTGTTTGATATCTGTGACCTACACTGAACACATCCTGGGACAGTAGAGGACAAACCGAAAGTAAGAACCAGGAAGTGGGAACATAGGCAGTATTCTCAACGACACTAATATTTTTCTTTTTCAAAACGTAACATCAAACTAGTGAAATAATGTTTGCCGTCGGCAGTCAATGCAAAACGCATAGCATTTCAAATCATATATAATATTACTTACTTGTGTATTGCTGTTGTTTGACTAGGTGTGAGTTATATTTCATAATGAGTGGTAGAATCTATGAATCAATAAATGTTAACTTTTGAAATTCGGTTCACGTGTAAAATATGGATTTCATACTTCATTTGTTCATAGCACTTTGTGCTATATGTGAGTACATTTATGCGTTAAGAAATAATGCAAATGTTTCCCATGGTCAAGTGCCTACACGTACAACAGAGCGAGCGTGGGATTTTAGTTTTACGCCGCTTTTAGCAATATTCCAGCAATATCACGACGGGGGACACCAGAATGGGCTTCACACATTGTACCCATGTGGGGAGTAGAACCCGGGTCTTCGGTGTGACGAGCAAACGCTTTAACCACTAGGCTACCCCACCTGCCCGGGCACAACAGAACATAAGTGACATTTATGTAAAGTAATCATATTTAACTTCTTTGTAACCGTGTGCATTTATGTAATGACTGTCGTTCTCATCGGGATGCTGGGATCAATTTTCATTAACATGTTGTCGACAGCTGAAAATATTTATATAAACATAAAATGGAAATTATCTTTTATGTATCTCTTCGCCAGACGAATTCCATTTTATCTGTTTCGTTTTATCATCTTTTTGATATTGCTTTGGTTGGTTGGTTGGTGTTGTCCTATTATTGAATAGCTGTAACGCTTCCTTTTGTTGTGTTTATTGTTTAACGCCTCACTCAGCAATATTCCAGCTATATGGCGGCGGTCTGTAAATAATCGAGTCTGGACCAGACAATCCAGTGATCAACATCATGAGCATCTATCTACACACCTGGGATGCGATGACATGTGTCAACCAAGTCAGCGAGTTAAATATTGCAAAATAGAAATGTCAAATGAAATAATTTCTTTCCGTTTCAAATTAACTGAAAGAATCTTGTCCTCAGGTGTATCTGCTGTCTCTATATCTTTATCTCGACTTTCACATGTCGGTGTTATGTTTCACACAACAACGGGCACTGTTCGACTGAACATTGTTCGACCCAAAATATCGAGACGTGCTTTAACCATTTCCTGGAAACTGTCAACACAATGTATTGTTACCTGATGTGTCCAAATACAGCACTTTGAGAACCAGTTCTTGTTTTAAATCGGATATACCGAAGTTTTCCGTGTTTCATGTCATCAGACAGTGTGCCATGTTTATTGGAAGATGTAGGCCTGGAAGGGTTGCTATAAGCGATACATAATATATAATGTAAGATGGATAACGCTCACCAAGTTTTCTGAATACAGAATGTCGGAACCACAAGAGAAGGTTGACATAAGTGCCCTCAAAGACACATTCCTGGAATGCCCCGTGTGTGTGGAACATTTCAACCAGACAGACCGCCGTCCTCGTCTCCTCCACTCCTGCCTCCATGCCTTCTGCACACAGTGTCTTCAGCAGCTTCTTGACAAGGAGGGGAAAGGTCAGATCACATGTCCGCTATGTCGTCAAGTCCACAAGATCCCAGGAGAGCCTGGCACTTTGCCCGTGGATCCGGTCAGAGCAAAACTTGTAGATTTTGTGCAGATCAAAAACGAAGGAAAAGCTCCATGCACAGACTGCCCCGCAGGAAGCCCAGCAGAGTCAAGGTGCCAGGAGTGTTCTGTATATCTGTGTAAGGAATGCGCATATGTACACAGACGTCATCGACTGACTCATGACCATCCCGTCATATCCCTGAGTGGAGTGCTAGAACAGCCTCTGAACACATTCGCCCAGGGTCACTTCTGCACTCATCATCCAAAACACCAGCTGGAGTTCTTTTGTGCTAGTGATGAAACGCTGTGTTGCCTTTCTTGCACAGTTGTGGAACATAAGGGCCACGACTTCCAGAAACTAGATGAAGCAGCTAAGAAACGACAAACGGAATTGGAAGCATCGATGCTGGCCGTCAACGTAAATGTCCAACAACTGCGTCAGAGGCGACTGTCTGAAGAAAGACGTCAAACTGCTATCGCGGAGGCCCAGGCAAAGGCCAAATCCGATGTGAACACACACTTTACAAGACTGATACGCATAATCAATGAAAGAAAGTCACATCTGGTCCGGGATATCGACGAAAGAAGTAGTACAATGTTGTCTCTGTCTAAGAAAGAAGTAGAAGCGATAGACCAAACTCTTGCTGTTGCGGAGTCAACTGAAACGTACTTCACTCAAGCCAAGGAGAAGGCTGGTGTTGTGGAAATTCTTCAGATGTATCCTGCCATCAAGAGAAGTTTGGATGCAGCAGCCGATGGGCAAGGTCGGTCGACAAACGGCACCGGAAGTTGTGATGACATTTACTCTCACAAATGGAAATATTGTCGAAAAATTGGGATCAGAAGTAGGTTGCGTGAGCGAGTCTACTGAGACTCAGAAAGGTAGGCGCACACATCTTTCCTTGGACTAACGAGGCAAACGTATTTGCCTATGTCAATGGTTTCAATACTTCTCCATAACTGTTACATGTTAAGTTTGTAAATAGAAATGCGAACAATCTCTTTCTTCTGTTGAAAAATGTTAGCACTAGCAACATCTAAATGTAACCGTACCTGATGATCTAAACAAGTGTGAATGTATTAAGCGGGTCTATAACAGATACCTGCCTTTGAAACTCATGTAACCATGTGTAATATATTTTCAATCGTTTGTTCGTGTCGATGATTACTATAATAATGTTTTGTAATGATATTACCGTGTACCACTAAAGCAGAAGGTCGGGGTACAATTCTCAGGCCAAATCATACCAATAGACGTTAATAGATGGAACTTGTTGTTGCCTTGCCTCGAGAAGATAAAACAAGAACTCGTCTGCTTGGAATCTGTAAGCTGTGTTTGAAATTGGATTCATGCACGTCGCAGTCTTAGTACAATGATCTTGAAAGTGACATTTTTGTACATCATGCTAATTGCCTATTTTCAGAAAATGATCAACTTCTACTGTCTTTAGATGAAGTATTTGATGCTGCTTTGAAATACAAAAGCAAGAAGAAACTTATGAAACATTGTGAAGAGAAGTCTTACTCCAATGAAAGAGAAACGTGCGCTATCTGTGAGAATCATATCGAAGATGCAAAGAGGATACGGTGCGGGCACCGTTTCTGTAAGGGCTGCATTGACCAGGTGCTCAGTAGGCAACCAAATTGCCCTGTGTGTTGCAAAGTTCGATATCCGGTTTCATCGTTTTCCGAACTTGTAAGTAGGGAACTGACGCATTGTAAATCAGTAACATTTCTTCTGAACCCAAAACAAACAAAACATGAAATGTTGTAACCAGTGGTCACCTGAGTTTCTGTTCAGTATGAATACGCTTTTCCGTCGGCAGTCAATGCAAAACGCATAGCATTTCAAATCATATACAATATTACTTACTTGTGTATTGCTGTTGTTTGACTAGGTGTGTGTTATATTTCATAATGAGTGGTAGAATCTATGAATCAATAAATGTTAACTTTTAAAATTCGGTTCACGTGTAAAAAATGGATTTCATACTTCATTTATTCATAGTACTTTGTGCTATATGTGAGTACATTTATGCGTTAAGAAATAATGCAAATGTTTCCCATGGTCAAGTGCCTACACATACAATAGAGCGAGCGTGGGATTTTAGTTTTAGCAATATTCCAGCAATATCATGTTGGGGGACACAAGAAATGGGCTTCACACATTGTACCCATGTGGGGAATCGAACTCGGGTCTTCGGCGTGACGAGCGGACGCTTTAACCACTAGGCGACCCCACCACCCGATCAGGAGGTGAAATTTCTCTTATTGTAAGCTGATTATTACAGATATAGGTAGTGAGTGAGTTAAGTTTTACGCCGCAATATTCCAGCTATATGGCGGCGGTCTGTCAATAATCGAGTCTGGACCAGACAATCCCGTGATCAACAGCATGATCATCGATCTGCGTAATTGGGAACCGATGACATGTGTCAACAAAGTCAACGAGCCTGACCACTCGATCCTGTTAGTCGCCTCTTACGAGAAGAATGGTTTACTGGAGATCAATATTCTAACCCGGACCTTTACGTGTCACAGATCTCAGTAACACTGACAGATCATGATTGGTAGACTTGCGACAGAGCATTCGAAATATTGACTTAACGTAACTAGAGCATAATGCAAGTACAGAAACATTCACATTCGGACAGGCTTGATGAGTCATGTAATACCCGTACTCACAGTTTACTATTAAGACGCTCCTAGTTCAAAGGAAAATATTGGAACATAACTTCAGTCATGTTCTATTATGTATGTAGAAACTAAGATTCAAGAGAAATGATTTTCTTATTTTCTCTTGCAACCTAAGTATGTATGATATTAAAAAGAAATACTTTAGAAAGGCTCTTCCTCAGCTATGTTTGCGTCGAAAGTCGTCAAAAGGCCCCGCACATTCCTGCAAGTTGAACACCGTTCGTGCAAACATTGCATGACATGGTGTAATAAAGAATTTATTGTAGCAATTGGACCCATGTGTGACGTTTCCCACTATGTTCCGTATTTATCTTTGTTAAACGGCTCCTCTGTAATGCTTAACAATATGTTTCATTTTAATGCTAAGGATGTGTAAATAACCTTCACCCAGCAATTAACTGTATTGTCCTGGCCATGCTGCTTTGACCGTCGTTTATCGAGTACTTTGCTGACACGCCTTGATATGACTGAAATACTGATGTGTTTTTAGTATAATTGAACCGTTCTTGCTCAATCACCTTTTCCATCCAGAATGTTTTTGTTTTGGCGTTCACAGTTGCCTTCCAATTGTTTACCTTTTGCCCTGGAGACTCAGTAGTTTGTTTAATGTATTCGCTAAGTTTAATCAAGTAAACGAAGTGTAAATAGACATCATTGAAACATCAGTTTGTCTAAATCCTAACCCATTGCCTGAAGGATGGTGGTTAGTGCAACATCATGCAAGAATGACAATGTTTCCACGTAATAGGACTGTTTAACAAATAACCAAATACAAGAAACATATATTAACATGTTCTGCTGGTTCACGAAATCCCTAGTTATTATAATTATATCATAATGGTATGTGTGCGATTGAGTTGCAGGGGGACGACTATTATGGCGACGAACAGCATCGGGCAAGTTTTATAGTACGATTGCTTCAATGTATTCTCATTTAACAGGATGTGTTAGTTAGACTTTCACCTTTAATGACAGATGTTACAGAAAACCACTTATTTATTTCTTCTACCGTTGTCTCACGAAAAGTGGGAAGTTATTATCTATAAAATTGGTCTTGATAGTACTCTCCAACTTCTAAAAAACCTCCCCAAAGAAGCCTTTCAGCTTGTTTAACTTGTTCCTCCAGTATATATGTGTCATTGTCGTCAAAAGGAGTCACTGATTCCTACAAAATGAACACCGTTTATGCAAGCTGTGCATGACATGGTGTAATTAAAACTTCATTTTATCATTCGGACCTATCGTGTGATGTTTCTTTTATGTTCAATATTTATCTTTATTTAACGTCTCCTATGCAATGCGAAATAATATAGACGTTTGGCGTTCACAGTTGCCTGCCAAATATTTACTGTTTGCCCGGAGACTCGGTAGTTTGTGTAATGTATTCGCTAAGTTTGGTCAAGTATCCAAGTGTAAATAGAGATCATTGGAACATCAGTTTGTCTAAATGCTTACCCGATGCCTGAAAGATGGTGGTTAGTGCAACATCAGTCATGCAAGAATGACAATGTTTCCACGTAATAGGACTGTTTAACACCAAAAAAACAACCACAAGAAACATATTTAACATGTGTTTTCCATAAGGGACAAAAATAATTATGCGTAATTATACTTGATGTCAACATACGTTGCACGAGGTTGTGATATGCAGTATATGGACTAAATAAGTTGCTGTTGGTTATCTAATTATTCTCACTAGTTATTAAAATACAGAACGGCACGCCTGCGATTGTGTTGCAGTTTTGGCATGCACCTCCACACGAAGGTAGTAAAGGAGAATACTAAGAATTGTTTGCTGATAATATTTCTGCTGTTTCTGGCACTTGTTAATTACTCCAAAAGAAGTTCGATTTTCTGGAAAGGTTTTGTAATGGTAAGGGGAATAAAACAAATTGGAATAAGACAAAAACTATTGTCTTTAGAAATTGTGGAACGCATGCCGATATGAGAAATGGCATTATAATGGTAATCCTTTTCAAACTTTAATTTCTTGTATTCATCTAGGTGCTGACTTGTGTTCACTATTGTTTGTTGATAATATTACTGCTGTTTCTGACACTCCTAATTTACTCCAGAAGAAACTAAATGTTCTGGGAAACGTTTGTAATGATAAGTCAACATACGCACCATGAGGTTATGATATGCAGTATATAAGATATAGAAGTAGCAGCTGGTTCTCGAAATCCCTAGTTATTATAACACATAATGGTAGGTATGCCATTGTGTTGCAGGTGGACCCTAACGACTGTGATGATGACGAACAGTATCAGGCAAGTTTTATAGTACTATTGCTTCAGTGTATTCTCATTTAACAGCATGTGTTAGTTAGACTTTCACCTTTAATGACAGATGTTACAGAAAATCAATTATTTCTTGTACCACTCTCTCACCTAAAAAAGAGAAGTTATTATCCATAAAACTGGTCTTGATAGTACTCCCCAACTTCTAAAAACCTCCCCAAAGAAGCCTTTCAGCTTGTTTAACTTGTTCTGTTGGTATTCACCGGGACTGCATTTCAAGTCCACAGATGTTTATCATATTTATTGGTAAGCTCTATAAGAAAATGGAAAAAGGAGTGTGAGAAGGAAGTTTCATAAATCAGTTCTTTACTAACTTGTGTACACTGATGTTTGCTGATAATATTTCTGCTGTTTGTCACAACTGTATTGTAATTTTGTAAAGAAAAGATGTTCTGAAAAACTTTTGTAATGCTAACAGGAATGAAAGTAAATTGGAATAAGAGAACAATTGCTGTCTTTAAAAATTGTGGCCAACATGCTGATGAAATGGTATTGTAATGGTAGCCCTGGTCAAACTTTCCCATTCAAACAGGATTTGAATAGATAAATTATATAATACCCTTATGACCGTACTTAAAGTTTATTTGTATTGTGTAATGTACGGCACAAGACGCAGTATGTTCTGAAAAACTTTTGTGATGCTAACAGAAATGACAGTAAATTGGAATAAGCCAAAAATCATTGTCTATATAAATTGTGGCCCCCATGCCGATATGAGAAATGGTATTGTAATGGTATCCCAGTTCAAACCTTCCCCTTGAAAATGGATGTGAATAAATGAATTATATAATACACTTATGGCCTGACTTACTGTTGTATTGTTTGAACATATGTTCAACTGTGTTCAAATAGTTTTGCAGAAACAAATATACAAGAAAAAAGTAACATTTGTCTTAATTTCTGTTGAAGCTAAATGTGTCTAAGAAGTGTTTGAAAAGGTAGTACTTAACACTGGTAGGGAACATGGTTACAGTGAGAGTGGAGTCTTTGTGATTTTTGCGACAGAAACTTTATGATTTGTGACAGAGTCTTTGTGATTTGTCTCAGAGCCTTTGCAATAATCCGTGTTGTAATAAGATAAAATGGTAATTATAGCTTTAGTCTGTGGTATTAAAGACTACAATTTCCCTTATCAACACATGATATCATCTTGCAACTTTATAATTTACTTTAATAAATCTAGCAATAGCATATATATTAGTTCTATCATATTTTGCAATGGAAGTCATTTTGACAATGAATATGAGTAAAACACCAAGATTAATAACATATTCACAACGAATTATGTCAAGTTTTCCACATGAAGTGTGTCATAAACATCAATATTTCAACATCACTTTCACTAAAATAATATTTTAAACATGTCACAGAGTCTTTACCACTGGTAACGGAGAATTTGAGATTGAAAGGCGATGGTAATGGAAAATTCCTATTCGTGTTCATTCATGAAAAGGCAATACGTTGTTCTGTTGTATATAAACATTTCCTTGGCCAATAAATGGTGTGCATCATGCAATTTCAAGTCGCCCAAATGAACAAGATGACATGATTTCTTTATTATCCCAAGTTTACGATTGTGTTGCAGAGGCAGTTTGGCTTTGGTACGCCAGTCCCAAAGGAACCAGCTCCGGTAAGTTATACAATTCTATTGCTTAAATGTATTTTCATTAAACAGGTTGTGTTGGAACCAAATACGGCCTTTCATTTGTTGTAATTGTTTTGTTGGTACCCACCAGGGCGGCATATTGGTCCACAAATGTTAATCACAGTTATGAATAAACTTTATATGAAAATTGAAAAGAAAGTGAAGAAGGATTTTTAACAAATCAGTTGTTTGCTAAGTTGTGTACACTGATGTTTGCTGATAATATTATATCTGTTTGTGACACTTGTAATGTACTCCACAAGACGCATTATGTTCTGAAAAATCTTTGTGATGATATCAGCCATTGTCTTTTTAACTTGTGCCCCCATGCCGATATGAGAAATGGTATTGTAATGGTATCCCAGTTCAAACCTTCCCCTTGAAAATGGATGTGAATAAATGAATTATATAATACACTTATGGCCTGACTTACTGTTGTATTGGACGCCTCCTAGTTCAAAACCAATTGTTTGAACATATGTTCAACTGTGTTCAAATAGTTTTGCAGAAACTAAGATACAAGAGAAAAAAGTAACATTTGTCTTAATTTCTGTTGAAGCTAAATGTGTCTAAGAAGTGTTTGAAAAGGTAGTACTTAACACTGGTAGGGAACATGGTTACAGTGAGAGTGGAGTCTTTGTGATTTTTGCGACAGAAACTTTATGATTTGTGACAGAGTCTTTGTGATTTGTCTCAGAGCCTTTGCAATAATCCGTGTTGTAATAAGATAAAATGGTAATTATAGCTTTAGTCTGTGGTATTAAAGACTACAATTTCCCTTATCAACACATGATATCATCTTGCAACTTTATAATTTACTTTAATAATCTAGCAATAGCATATATATTAGTTCTATCATATTTTGCAATGGAAGTCATTTTGACAATGAATATGAGTAAAACACCAAGATTAAAAACTCACGAAGAACAAAATATTCACAACGAATTATGTCAAGTTTTCCACATGAAGTGTGTCATAAATATCAATATTTCAACATCACTTTCACTAAAATAATATTTTAAACATGTCACAGAGTCTTTACCACTGGTAACGGAGAATTTGAGATTGAAAGGCGATGGTATTGGAAAATTCCTATTCGTGTTCATTCATGAAAAGGCAATACGTTGTTCTGTTGCATATTAACATTTCCTTGGCCAATAAATGGTGTGCATCATGCAATTTCAAGTCGCCCAAATGAACAAGATGAAATTATTTCTTTATTATCCCAAGTTTACGATTGTGTTGCAGAGGCAGTTTGGCTTTGGTACGCCAGTCCCAAAGGAACCAGCTCCGGTAAGTTATACAATTCTATTGCTTAAATGTATTTTCATTAAACAGATTATGTTAGAACCAAATACGACCTTTCATTTGTTGTAGTTGTTTTGTTGCTACCCACCAGGACTGAATATAGGCCCAGAGATGTTAATCATATTTATGAATAAACTTTATATGAAAATTGAAAAGAAAGTGAAGAAGGATTTTTCACAAATCAGTTGTTTGCTAAGTTGTGTACATTGATGTTTGCTGATAATATTATATCTGTTTGTGACGCTTGTAATGTACTCCACAAGACGCATTATGTTCTGAAAAATCTTTGTGATGATATCAGCCATTGTCTTTTTAATTTGTGCCCCCATGCCGATATGAAAAATGGTATTGTAATGGTATCCCAGTTCAGACCTTTGCCTTGAAAATAGGATGTGAATAGATATAGTATTAGGCTCCGTCCGTCCGTCTGTCCGTCCGTCCGTATGTATCTAGGTTTATCACAGTATGGGAAAGGTCCCAGTCAGGTTTTGTGACCGTGACCTTCATTTCAAGGTCACAAGGGGACTTTAACGTCTTACCCTTGTCAGCAAGATTTCTCAAGAACCGTTAACTGGATTTTGTTTATATTCAACACCAAGCTTAACCCAGGGAAGGCGCAGGACCCAGTTGATATTGGTGACCTTCACTGAATTTTCAAGGTTACAGCGACACTTTGAAGATTTCAGCATGTTATGCTGCATGTTAAGCTTGTCAGCGAGATACCTCAAGAACCGTTGACTGGATGTTCTTCATATTTGACATCAAGCTTTATGAAGGAAAGGGACTGCCTCCGTGGTGTAGTGGGTAGAGCGTCCGCCCGGAGAACGGAAGGTCGCGGGTTCGATCCCGACCTCGTCCTACCAAAATACGTTAAAATGTGGTACTTGTTGGTCCCTGCCTGGCGCTCGGCATAAATGGGTACAACAAGGACTGGTCGGCTCGGAGTCAGTATAATGTGTCTGCGTGGGGTATTCATGCTTCACTGTGGCATGGTATCTCAGTGGGCTAGCACTATAAAACCAGCTTCAGTATGGGCTAGTACACGCAGCCGCACATACACATACACATGCATGCACGTCGTCATATGAGCGAAAAATTCTCAAGCACAACGTTAAACCCAATTTCACCTCACCTCACCTCCAGGAAAGGTGCAGGGCCCAGTCGATTTTGGTGACCTTCACATAATTTTCAAGGTCACGGCGACACTTTGAAGATTTCAGCATGTTAACCTGCATGTAAAGATTGTTAGCGAGATATCTCAAGCACCTTTGACTGGGCTTTCTTCATATTTGACGTCAAGCTTCATCTGGGAAATATGCAAGGTCCAGTTTGATGACCTTCACATAATTTTCAAGGTCACAGGAACACTTTGAAGATTTCAGCAGGTTTATCTGCATGTTAAGATTGTCAGTGAGATATCTCAAGAACCGTTGACTGGATGTTCTTCATATTTGACACATTGCTTTATTTCGGAAAGGTGCAAGGTCCAGTCGATTTTGGTGACCTTCACATAATTGTCACGGTCACAGCAACACTTTGAAGATTTCAGCATGTTAACCTGCATGTTAAGATTGTCAGTGAGATATCTCAAGAACCATTCTCTGAAGTTTCTTCATGTTTAACACCATGCTTCAACTAGGAAAGGTGCAAGGTTCAGTCGATTTTGGTGACTTTCACATAATTTTCAAGGTCACACTGACACTTTGAAGATTTCAGCATGTTAACCTGCATGTTAAACACCATGCTTCAACTAGGTAAGGCGCAAGGTCCAGTTGATTTTCGTGACCTTCACATATCTCGAGGACAGTTCACTGGATTTTCTCCATAAACTTTCAAGATTTCCCTTGAATGTTTTTCAATAAGCAATTACATGTATTACTATTTTTGCATAGTTCATACACTAAGACATTCATGTCAAGGTCAAAGTCAGTCTTGAAAATATTTGTGCGTTTGAACAACTACAAAACAAGATATCAAGAGAGTTTGACTGGTCATGCTTTTGTTGACATTTAACTTCATCTTAAATTACGACCTTCACTTTCATTACTTTTTAAGTTTGATTTCATAATTTGCGGCGGGGGATTATGTCACCTTAGTGACAATGCTTGTTATATAATAAACTTTTGGCCGTTCTTATAGTATAGTTGTAATGGACGCCTCTTGTTCAAAGGAAATTATCGGAACTTAAATTCAATTGTGTTTACATATTAATATCTAAGATACAACAGAAAAGACAATTGTCTTATTTTCTGTTTGAACCTTAATATGTCTAAGAGGGATGTAAGAAAGTATTACTCAAGAACGGGTACTCCTTCGGTATATGTGTGTCAATGTTGTCAAAGGACGTCATACATTCATACGAAATACATTCATACGAAATGAACACCGTTCATGAAACTTTGCATGACATGGTGTAATTAAGAATCTATTTTATCATTCGGACCTACCGTGTCACGTTTCCTTTATGTTCCATATTTATCTTCATTAAACGGGCCATATGAGATGCACAATAATATATTTTATTTTAGTGAATAGAATTGAGGATCAACAAATAACTGCAGTTAACCCCATTGTCATGTCCCACTGGGTAAAAAGGATGGATAGCCAAGAAGTTGCTGATATGGGTCGCCTGTTATCACTCGTTTATAAAAATGATTGATATTTGAGATTTTTATTCAGTTCATATCATTTCTAAGAATACACATATACTTATGGGAAGATAGTTTAGACTTTGTGCTGCAGGGTTATCTGTATTCGTTGTCACCTGTTCTGTCCTCAAAGAGGATGAAACGTAGAAGCTTAGAGTAAGTACAAACAACTGAAACACGAAAATCTGCTGAATGCTGACGTGATTGAACCCATAAGGATAGAATGGCAGTTCCACAGTAATGTCAGTCAACTGAAATATATACTGATACAGGAATATATGTAGCACAGTGTAATTTCATTTCTTGCGTTTAGTGATCGCCTCTGTTGTCTGGGTTGAGAGCAGAAGTATATTGTGTCTGGGGTGGTGGGGTGACCTAGTGCTTGAAGTGTTCGGTGATTGATCTGAAGACCCGTGTTTATTACCCCCACATGGGTAACATGAATGAAACCGATTTCTGGTGTCCTCGCCGGAATATTGCTGGAATATTGCCAGAAGCAGGGCTGAACATATACTCTCATTTATTAACTCACTAACTCATTCACTCAGAATTAAACCTGTATTTGTAGAAGCAGACACACAGACACCCATTGCGTTGGAATTTTGACAGATAAGATGGAGAAATAGAGAAATATTTATGATGCTTACGTATGTTATGTGTTTTACCTTTCTAACATTACAAGGCAAGTTGTACACGTCTTTCTTTGTATGTAGATGTAAAAGACGAATGTGTAGATTTGTGGTATTAAATACACTTATTCAAGTACAAGTATCTCAGAACCATATGCATATGTTATGGTATTTTTTGATTACACATTTAGATGATGTGTTACAAGGATGATATCAAACTACACAAGTTGTGTCGCATTGTCACATCATGCTCTGGGTCTGTCGCAATGCCATACCGTGCTGGCTGATCACAGTGCTGCTTTGTTTATTTACTGCAAGGTCACCTAATAGGCTGCACTTAGTTGTTAAGAAGTTAGCATAGACCGAGAAACCTATGAAAATGTCATGCTGGTTAGATGTTATATGTATATCCAGTATTTTGCTGACAAGCCTTGATAGGACTGAAATACTGTCCATAGCTTCACTGAACCGTTCTTACTCACCACTGACATTAAAAATCTCTATTGTTTGGCGTTCACATGTGCATGATGATTTACTGATCACCATCTGTCCATGTAGAATCTATAAGTCTCGCGAGGCTCTGCTTCCGGTACTAAGCTGGTACCCGGGCAACTTGCGATATGCGAGACGGGGCCCAGCTTACTTCCTGTACTAGATTTCCGGTGACAGGCGTATATTCAAAAACCAGTTCTGGTTCCAAATTGCGCCACCGCCAGATGTGCATGGATTCCTGCAAGGATTATCGGTTCCTTACTCTCAACTGACAACAATGAGACCATTCGAAGATGTATGAAACGTTGTAGGTCACCGGTTGTACTGAAGTCAAGCGATGCGCCGCGCTCAGGCAAGTTATATAATACTATTGCTATAATGTATGTTCTAATTTAACAGCCGTGTTAGAACCAAATGTTGACTTTCAGTTTGTTTCACTTGTTCTGTTGATACCTGCCAGGGCAGCTTTTAGGTCCATAAATGTTTATCATATTTATATATAGTTTTTTTTCCAGAAAATTGGAAAGGAAGGCGGAGATGGAATTTTCACAAAACTTGTGTACACTGATAATATTTCTGCTGTTTCTGACACTCGTAATTTACGCCCAAAGAAGCTAAATGTTCTGGAAAACTATTGTAATTAGTCAGCATACGCACCATGGGGTTATGATATGCAATATATAAGATATAGGAGTTGCAGCTGGTTCTCGAAATCGCTAGTTATTATAACACATGATGGTATGTGTGCGATTGTGTTGCAGCACGCGGCAAGACATGTTTGCAAGGGTAATAAGGAGCGTAGTGTTGCAATATACAAGTGTTTAGATGTATCAAATAATACTGATTAATATCTATGTATCCAGTTAAATGAATTGGTCTCAAAATTCTGGACTGGTTATTGTACTAAGTTGCGCAATAGGACGGAACCCAGTCAATTGGAAACGAGACTGTTGTGTAATCAATGTTTTGACTTGATTGCTGATTATGAAAAAAACAACAAAAAACAAATAAACAAAATTATAAGCGTACAATCGCAAATCAAAAGTGCAATATTTTGTACTTCGGTTTAGTACCCACGAAACGAAGCACCCGTGATACCGAACCCAGTCAGAGTGGAGGGGCGTGCACTTAAGTGTAACGTAGTCTTTCATTGGCTGGTTCATTTGCCGATACGCTCAGGGCTCGTTGTGTGTGTATAGAGATGTTGAGTTTTGTA